GCAAGATTTTTGCTTCCTGGATCCGGATCCACAAAAATATGCGGATCCACGGATTTGGATCCAAGGGGTAAACTATCAACCAAAAGCTGCAAAAAAACAAAATTTACTCCTAAAATCCAAATTTGAACTTTTGAAAAATAAAAGACTATCCAAATTTCCTCATTTCTAAATGATTAATCCATTTTTCGGATAAAAATAAGCGAAAAAAGTAATACAAAAAAATTTGAAAATTTTTTTTTTGTTAAAAAAATTCAGGGTGATTTCCTAGAGAACGATTTTTGGAAAGTAAGATTAGTAGCGATCAAAAGTGCTTTTATATCGCATTAAGTATATACCCCTTTTTCGCGAACACTCCCTTTAATAGCTTGAAATNAGCGCTCGGCCCCCTAGCCTGTTCTAGCCGCAGCGCTCGGCCCAGAAATGAGCTTAACCTAACCTAACCCGAAATATGTATACTAATTTGTTGAAAAATAAAAAATAAAGGTCATGTACAAAAGTGATAGGAGGGGGGAAGGGGCAGGGGGGGGTCCATAAATCATATACTAGGACGAACCCAAATTTAGTAAATCTTTAAGAAATGACCTGGATCTGGATCCGGATCCATTTTTTTCCAGATCGGATCCGCATCAAACTAAAATGGATCCAAAGCACTGATTTTGGGAAATAACCGGAAATTACCGTGAGGGGATTAAAAAACTTGTATACTAGGAAATTACCCATTTGTATAATATTGCAATTGTATTTTCCTCGTAAATCAAAGTTTTTAGAAGAACATCGTGTGGTAATAAGTGAAACGTTCTATATGCAAAGACCTTTACTTTTATCCACATGATTTTAACAGTTGTTATACATCTGAAATTCATCATTATGTCAAGTACATTCAGGATTGGGTAATTTCCTAGGGGGGTCCAAAAATTGTTCAATAGGACAGACCCCAGGATTATCCACAAAGAGTCAAAACTCTAAAAATATGACTATTTGGCACTTCGATTTTTGAATTCAAATGAATATTTTAATGGTTTATTATACATGATAGAGCACTGAAATTAAACAGTTTTGGCCTACAAGAAACAGTAAATGCAAGGACAAGGACATACAAATTTTCATACAAACGTCTCATCCTTTGTGGGTAACCCTGTATGTTTCATTTTATAATTACAATTTATTGTTATTCCAAGCTAACTTTATCTTAGAAATTGAATTTTTTATTTTTCGGATTCCTGATTCCATGCTTTCACATTCGATTTGCTGCTGATAATTTCAAATTTGAATTTTTAGCATAATGTCGTCTTAAATATAACCAATAAAATAACTAATTTATTAATACTAATATGAATTTAAATTATTTTATTTGATAATCTCTCCATCATCAAGAGTAGATCAAAGTGTCATTTGAAAGTAAAATTGAATCACAATTAGCGAAGAGACCAATTTTATCCGGTGTATTTTTTAATATATGTTGTTTAGAAATCTAAGACGACAAATTTATGACCAATGCTGCACCGGTATCATTCTTAACTTGAAACGTGTTCTGCTTTTTGGCGCTAACTGAGCCCGTCTGTCTGTCCCTATTAATTTATTAATATAATTTATTAATTTAATAACGTCCTCCCCATCTCAAAAAGTGAAGGACAAAATTGTACAAATAAAAAAGTGATTACTTTATGTATTTTGTGGGACAATAGTCTGAGAGTGTGGCCACCTGAAGTTGGATTTTAACGCCTAACCAGGTAGATTATGCTTTATTACCAATAAAACATCTTCTGGACCCCGGGCCCAGTCCCACTTGATCAATACTTTAAATTTATTTAGTTTATTTAGTTTATTTAGTTCATTTAATGTTAACAACTGTTTGCAGTCCTAGCCTGTTCTACCAACAGAGCTCAGCCAAGAAATTGTTCTAACCTAACTTAACTCTGTCAATATTGAAATGAAATATGCTACTCAGTATTAAATAGATGAAATCAAATTTATGTACATAATCAATAGAAAATGGGGGGGGGGGCAGAAATTATTTTATTGAAAGGTAAAGACGATTTCTGCGTAGAGCCTTGCGGCTAGGATAGGCTACAATAAAATCAATGTGGCACACATAAGAACCATGTTAAAAATTATATTATGAAATTACCATTACCTCGTTAATTATTTAATCAAGAATTTTGAACACCGCCCCCCCCCCCCTTTCAACATCAAGTGTACATGGATAAGTAGTGCACTGACCCCCTAGCCTGTCGTAGCCGTGGTGGTCCACAAAGGAATTGTTTTAATTTGAGTAAAACCTAGAAGTATACAAAATATTTCAAGTATATTTTACCAGGGGGGGGGGGTACATGTACACCATTCATCACGGAAAATGAAAAAAATTGATTAATGTGAATTAGTATACATATTTAGGGTTAGGTTAGACCCCCTAGCCTAGGAACAGGAATATTTTTATTTTTTTGAACTGATTGAGTAGTAATGGGAACTGATTAATTGATGTTGAACTGATAAATTGAATTTATTTGTGATTAATATATTTTTGAGTGAAAATTTGATCTTTTATGTGATGAATAGATTTTTAAGTGATTAATAGATTTTAAGTGATTAATAGATTTTTAAGTGGTTAATAGATTTATTTATGTTCTAAGTGACTAATGATTTTTTCAAGTGATTAATTGATTTTTGATGGGATTAGTTAATTTTTGAAGCGATGAACTGATTTTTGAATTGATTTTTGAATTTATCAGTTGAATTTTGAAGTGATGAATTGATTTATGAAGTGAACAATTGATCTATGAGGAGATTAGTTGATATTTAAAGAGATTTATTGATTTTTCCAGGATCTATGTTGTGTAAGATCTGATATGGATAATCTCCTGAAAGCTCTGGGTCGACTTGAGGAAGCAAAGGTTAAGTCTAGATCATGTGATCAGCCACAATATCAGTCCAGGACAATCTCGAGTATAGCAATATTAGCATCTTACTATTCCAGTCCCATTTGACTTGAACTCAGTGGTGTAAAGTGTTACAAGACTGTTCATTCTTGTTCAAAAGTTGCATTTTGGTTGGTTCGAAGTAAAATTTACTCCCTAGGGACTGCTCACATTTTTCAATCTCTCATTTTTCCTCTGTTTTTGGCAAAAGGAGCAAGACTTTGCTAGTCTTACCACTCAAAGATCTAAGTATTTAAAGTGAGCATCACTTTTTTGCCAGAAACTGATAAAAGCATATTTCGTTTTTGTTTTGATTTTTTTTGGCGCTCTGCACAAACAGTTAAAACTTCCAGGGAAAATAATGATTTTCTTAAAGGTGGGGGGGGGAGTAATTATATTCTAAGAAAATATTTACCCCTTGATTTTACCTTTTGAGGGTTTTGGTCAAAATGGAAGTTGTTTTTGAGACAAAGTTAATTGAACATTTAAACATTGTGTAGGGATAGGCTTGGCCTGTTCTGTTATTAATTCAAACAATATGGGTATTTTGTGATACATTGAAGAGGAGAACAAGCTCGGTATCACTTTTTGACTCATGAAAAATATACACTATTGGAAAAATATAAAAATTAACAATGATATTGCTATGCTTGTTGATATATTTTTTATATGATCACTTACCAAACAAAAAAGTAGTGTAACTGATGCATTGCCATTGGCCCAAATTATTCTGCGCATGCTACTACTTCTCTGTTCGAATTGGGACCAAATAATTACACGACAGATAGCCTAGACCTGTTAAAGTCCTTGTTTTTCTGAAACTTAAATTCTAATATAAATTATTATTAAGCACTTTGACATTAATTCTTCATTTTTGATTTACAGTGTGGATAAAAACCTCAACACTTACTTTTGTTTTTCTTCATAAATTTTATAAAACTTGAAAAGTATCGATTTTACATCACATTTTTTCTTCAGGTAAAAGTGGCTGAAATAATGTTTTAAAGCAAGTTGAAATGAGGGATTTTTTCCACGGCAGTTTTTCTGGCATGTAAAAATTGAAAACAAAATATTATATCTTACAGGGTGACATTTAATGATCTCTAAAAAATCAGTTTTAAGTCCAAAACTTGTTTTTAAAATAATTTTATTTCAATTCAAAAGTAAAATAGTGTTTTGGTTTTCAAAAGAGCATGTTTTAGTATTCGCTCTGTTACACAGAGTAGCTCGGGTGTATAAACCAGTTGTTTTTGGGGGAAAGCAGCTCGAAAAATGACCTTTCAGGCTTAAAAATATTTATTTTAAATTTTATTGCCAAAAATTTTGAATTGGGTGAAACTAGTTCAGAGCCAGTTAAGCTCCTTCTAAAATTCCACTAATTTTATAAGTGTTAAAAGATTTTACTATTAAAAATTAAGGATTTTCTTAAATGAAAATTAGAATTGGGTCTTGTCTTGCAAAAAAAAACGTTAAGAGACTTGAGACATAAATTAGCCTGATTTAGCTATGTATATTTTTTTGACTCAAATTGCAACTGAAAACTTCAGGAACTTTATGACATTACTACACATTTAGTCCAGTTTACTGAAAGTGTTTTTCCCCTAACAGGTATCTAAAATATATCCGTCACTGCTAACATTTCCAATTGAACTTAAAACATATAGGGTCACTTAAAAGTGTATGTTTCAATTTTTTAAAATTGATGAATTTCTCTTGGGATGGATCAAAAAGAATTAGTAGAATTCTAAAATATAAATATTAATATTACCATCATCAGCCTCTGCTTCTTGACTTCCTTTGTCAGGTCTGCTTTCAGAAGAAGTGGAAGTGATGTAGCCTTGAAAAGTCATAGATAGACAACAGGTTTAGTTTGGCCCTCTGATGTTTCTGCTCATCCTGGATACTTTGTTGGTTCGCCAAAACTTTCAACAGAAGATGTTTAACCTGGATTCAGGGGTTTAAATGTTTTTTTTTAAAGAGGTGGGTGGGATGGAAATATCCTGAAATGGATAAATTAAACATTCACATGGGATTAAATTTTTTACATTAAAGCATTTACACCCTAGCCTCTTCTAGATCCACATGTTACTCCTCTTCCTCCTTTTTGGATTCTTTTTTCTTCTCAGCTTCATTCTTCTTATCGGCTTCCTTCTTCTTATCCACTTCCCTCTTCTTCTTGTCTTCCTTATACTTGTGGGTCTTATTGTTATTGTTCGTCTTACCAAAGTCCTGAGAGGATAAAGAATCATCTTCACTTTGTGATCCCTCAGCTGCATCTGTATCTGCATCTGCATCTGCATCTTCCTCGTCCTCCTCCTCCCCAACATCCTTGTCCTCCTCATCCTTCTCGTCCTCCTCGTCATTCTTTGGTCAAGATTATAAGTGAATGTTTTAATCATTTAAGAAAAGCTTCTGTCTACATAATAATGAGCTGTTAAAATAGCATGCTTTAATTTAAGTATGTATTATAATCTCATGCCTGTAAGCTTTTCTCATAAGCTTCAAATAGCTCTAAATCTATTTCGGTCCTGCTCTTTTTGGCAGTCCGGACCTCCTGAAAAAGGTTAATATATTTCCTGTGTTAAAAATTTATTTCTGCAGGATCCCCAACAAAAATAGAGTTAACAAAAATCGACCATATAGATTGAACATTTATAAATTGTCCCACTAAATCATTAAACTTAGTATAAATGTTTGGGACATAGATCCGGATCTGGATGAAATTAAAATGATTTCTTAAGAACTGCTTAAACCTTACTCAATCATTGATCTGCATCATAACTTACTAAAACAAAATGTTGAAATAAATAAATAAATAAATATGTTGAAGTTTTTCATGGTCATTAACAGACACTGCAATTTTATATGAATAGAGAAAGGGCAAATGTCAAAATTAGTTATTGAGAGACAGTTTTGTAAGTAGATAATTTTTTTACTTGACTAGATGGAGCAAGTGATTTCTTCTTAGAAATAATACGTCTATCATCATCTAAATATTATAATAGTTAATTTTCTTTGTAAAATTTCTAATTTTCAAATATCAATGTCATCATTTAAGAGGATTGGGTGAATAAACTCCTAATTGAACTTATGTTGCATATTTTTTTGGTTCAGTGATAATTTTCCGTCCAATCTTGGATTTAATTACATCTTTTAAACGGGTAAAAAATCAACAATTAATTACAAAATATAGAAAACTAAGGCCCATTACACTTACTTAAAAAACATGCCCCCCCCCCACACACAAATATTAACCACTTGCAACATTAATGACATACCAGTAGAGGTTAGATTATTGTATTCAAAGTCTGGATTAATGAGCTGGGTCCTTAATCTCTTCTCACCTTGACGTCCCTTTTCTGGTACTTTTGACATTTTCTATTATGAAAAACAAACATAAATCAATTCTAGTGCAAGAGTGCCTTCACTACTGTGATGTTATCTGAAGTCAATTTTAGAGCTCGGATTAGTCCAAGGTTGTTCAGCTCTGATTTCTTCAGAGCAAATTTGGTCCCTCATTCTTGTAAGACAAAATTGTAAATTTCTTTGCTCGGCATCGGCCGGTCGAATAGGTTTGAGGTAGTCAGGTATTTGATGACCTCAACCTTATCCTCAGTCTTGTAGTAAAGCTCCACGGGATAAGGAGGAGTAGTCTTGAGACTGATGTAAACATTTCCCGGTGGCTTCAGGCAGAACTCAGCAGATTGGTTCTCAGCCTTAGATCCTAGGCTCCCTGCCTCTGCCAACCTCGCCACGCACTGCTTCAGTGGTTCTTTCCCTCTTCTTAAAATGGAAAGTATACATTCAGGGGTATATTTTTTTCAATTAAGGAAGAGGGCGGATGAAGTCAAGTCAAGTCGGTTCAAACTGTAAACTAACCTTACTAAATTCTTCATGCGACCCAAGAAACTTTCAAATATGAAAGCAGAAGAAGAATCCAGAGGCCCCCATCGCTGACAAATATGTGTACTTTGAAAGCTATATACCTACGTTCAAATAATGGACATAAATTAGCAAACGAACAAACAAACCAACTAACACCCAAACCAACCAACAAGCAAACAAACAAACAAACAAAACAAGATTTAAATTTATAGATAACGGCATGATGATACCAGCAAAATAAAGTATAACAGGAATTTTTTAGAAAAAGGTCTTGAATAAATATAAGCTAAAGGTTTCAAAATTTCATATGAAGTGTCAATTATTACTCCAAATTACCTCGAAGTCATCAACTAGGTGGAGAAGCGCATGAACATTGATAGTTGGGTATGTGGGCCCATATAATTCTTCTTCTTAACAACTTTATTCAATACAAAAAAACGACAATAGTATTTTTCATTTATAGAATCATAGAGAAAAACGTCTCGTTCTACCTATTGCCGTACCGAGNAGATGTCTGTTTATCATTTTTGTTATTGTTTACAATCTTTATATTATTGTTACGCAAAAAAGTTCTTAGTCCAAAAACCTCACAGCAAACGTGTACGGAAACCCTATCGCCCCCTCCTTCTATTCAATATTTCCTTGCATATTTCTAAACATGATACAATAATTATTAAATCTAGTGAAAGGCCAATTCATGCAGGGTTACAATTATAAATAATAGATATCAGGGATATTTTCACATTTGGATTAATGACTGAATTGTTGACTGTTTTGCGAAGGTTGAAGTTGAAGATTGATGATTAATGCTAATCAGCTAAATCATGGAAAATTCTATATTATTATCCATAGAGAGCATTCCATGACTTAAAAAATTTCGCAATTGTTATACAGGTCCATCCAGATCTTATCATGTAGAAACTTTCTTAACAAATTGAGCAGCGTGCTTACACCTTGAAGAAATGAATTAAACTGGCTAAGATTTGACAAATGAGCACGCTTTTCAGCGGGCCCTTGTTTTTTATCATTCTTTTTGATTTCATATCGGAAGAAACAGTTTGTCTTTTCATCCTCAAAGTTCTTCAGACGGACTGATAAATTAGTTTTGATCTGACGATGGAGTCAAACTCCGACAGCAAACAATTGCGGACTAAAAAAAGACGGCTTTTAATCATCCGATGCCGGAGCTCCACAAAAAGACATTTGCGGATGAAAAAAAGAGTTCCGATCACAGTAGAAAATAAGAAAACGGTAGAAAGAAAAAATAATTTTCCAGCTGGGATATCAATTACCTTGGACTCAGAAGAATTGTTATAGAAATACTCAAGTACAGAAACTGCTCATATGCATCAGGGGACAGCTTTCCCTTCCCTGTCATAAAAATTTTTTACTTTTAGATTACACATAATAATTAACAAAGTTAACAATACGTTTGGGAAAATGCATATTATACCAAAATGTGTACCTTGAACACTAGTTTCCCTGTGTATAGAAGAATCATCCTCAGTTCCGTGGCTTTAAAGAACACCAACTCCTTAAAATATGAGGTTTCGGTTAAGTAAATGCATTGTCCCCCCCCCCCTCACCTAATCCCTGTCCCCAAAATAGCAATTATCTAATTAACGGACTAACCCTGAGACTCCTGGGCATCCGGTTAAACTCTTTTGGGATGCTAGATCTCATTGCGACCAATCTTCTCGATATTTCATCATCAGCTTGTGAGGACAATTTCTCCATCCTTTAATTCTTTTCGTCAATATTTTCAACAGACGTTTCATGCAGCCTAAAGATTAAATATGTTCCAATGGTGTGAGAACAGGGGCATACTAGGGGGGGGGGAGGCCTTGTAGAGGGACCCCCTACGCGTGCTTCAGAAATGATGGAGAAATAAAGGTTTCAAAGGTACATCAGATATGCAACTCTATAAATTAAGGGTAATTTGAAACTATGCGTGTACACATTTAAGTACAAATAAATCATAAAAAAAATAAAAAAATAAAAATCTAACTTTGGCCTTTTCTAAAAACGTTTCATTAAAAAAGCTTTAATCAATACTGCCTTCAGTGTAAACATAGATTTGATATCATTTAGACATTTTCAAAAAGTGATTTTTCGGGAGGGGGGGGGGGGCAAAATGTTGCCAAGGGGTTTCACCAAAAAGTGTCCCCCACCCTCCACTAAAATGCTCTCATACACCCCTTGTGTCAGAAATTGAGTTTTGAAATTAAAAACACAAACCTAAACAGCATCAATGCATGCATTAGGAAGAGAAATCATAAACCATATCTAATATCTTAATCTTCTAAAATCTCCATCAGAGTTTCAGAGTTAGCTCTGTTGTAAACTCCGAGCTTTATTTATCTACGGCAGAATTTCAAACGCAATAATTAACTCTCTTAGTTCATATTTATTATTTCAATAATAAAACTAATTCTATATTTATATTTAGGAGATTAGTATTCAGCATTCGGATCCACCTCGGTCTCAAACGACATCAGGAGCTCTGCCCTTCTCAGCATCAATAAGGACATGTAGGTCAACAGTTCCACCTCCATTCTCAGATAGTGTTCCTCCCTAAATATCCTCCTACGCCCCTGAGATGCATATACAATCGATTGATGCAAGTTCTGCCAGGCAACATCTATCTGACCCTCGATCCTTCTCCAGTTACTGATAACTACAGTGACCCGGCCTCTGTCTGGCTGGAGGCCCAGTCTCATCCACAGGAGGTCATCCTCATCTGCATCCTCCGGCCTATCCCCCGGGTCTGGGGGATCTACATTAGGATCCCCCGTCTGGGGGTCAACTCCTCCTGGCTTTCTCCTATTCCAATCATTCCCTCCTTCATCAAAGGTCTCCCAGGCACACCAGCAGCAGGCAGGACCCGAACTACATCCCCATGGTCCTCACGGTCGCCACCCCCTGGGGGTAGGGTGGTTGTACTCTTCATTATAGCTTTTAGTAACCCTTTGCAGTATTGTTAATTACTTAGCTATTATCTTGTCTAGCTTTACAGAGCTGACTTATTTAGTTTTGCGAAGCTAGTAAAAACCAACTAACACCCAAACCAACCAACAAGCAAAGAAACTTTCAAATATGAAAGCAGAAGAAGAATCCAGAGGCCCCCATCCCTGACAAATATGTGTATTTTAAAAGCTATATACATACGTTCACATCAATAAAGAGTGAACATAAATTAGCAAACGAACAAACAAACCAACTAACACCCAAACCAACCAACAAACAAACAAACAAACAAACAAACAAAACGAGATTTAAATATATAGATAACGGCATGATGATACCAGCGAAATAAAAGATAATAACAGGAATTTTTTAGAAAAAGGTCTTGAATAAATATAAGCTAAAGGTTTCAAAATTTCATATGAAGTGTCAATTATTACTCCAAATTACCTCGTAGTCATCAACTAGGTGGAGAAGCGTATGAACATTGATAGTTGGGTATGTGGGCCCATATAATTCAATACCCTTCTCAACGACAAACTTCAGATATTCTTGCACACAATCAACTTGATCAGCTAGCCTGAAACATTTTAATTTGGAGTTCTATAATAAATCCATCATATCTGTCCTGTCCCCGTATTTGTTTTCTTTCCAATAAAATGTCCGTCATAACAATTACCTTGGACTCAGAAGAATTGTTATAGAAATACTCAAGTACAGAAACTGCTCATATGCATCAGGGGACAGCTTTCCCTGTCATACAAATTTTTTACTTTTAGATTAAACATAATAATTAACAAAGTTAACAATACGTTTAGGAAAATGAATATTATACCAAAATGTGTACCTTGAACACTAGTTTCCCTGTGTATAGAAGAAACCCCCACTAAAATGCCCTCATACACCCCTTGTGTCAGAAATTGAGTTTTGAAATTAAAAACACAAACCTAAACAGCAGCAAGCAGGAGAAATCATAAACCATATCTAAATCTTCTAAAATCTCCATCGGAGTTTCAGAGTTAGCTCCATCTGAAATTAGTATCTTGTTATATATGGTCTCAAGATATTTATATAAGGAATCTAAAAAATTTAATCTGCAGTTCCCCTTTAAAGCAAATTTACAATGAAAAAATTCAATAATAACTTGTTTGTTTGAATTATAGTTGTAAATAATTTAAAAAAACATTTTTGTTTTTATCAATTGTTACAAAGCACAAGCAACATAGAAGTTTACCTAAATGATGGTTCGGGTTTGCTCTAGCTCTAAACCCTAGATCTGTTCTGAGTCCCAGATTCGTAGATTTGTAGAAACATATCCCTCCTCCCAGAGGTTTCACTCCTTTTTGTTTGCAGCGACCACAGGAATGAAATCCTTAATTATAATTAATATGAGGATTTAAGGTCAAAGTTTCAAAGTGTAAATTTTCAAGCCCCCCCCCCCCATAATTTATTTTGGCTCTAAGAAAAAAAAAAAAAAAATTGGACATAGAAATGCATTTTTTTCTTCATCCTTTCAGATATTTGTTATGCAAAAATCCATTAATTTTTCCCAATTCAGCGTTTTTTTAAGAAACAAAATCAAAGTTAAACTCCGTGAAAATCTACACAACATTTGGTGGAAAAATACTTTTTCAAGGAAAATTTACACCCCTCAGCAGACAGAACTCCATTTAGACAAAAAAAAACTATGCAGAACATTTTAAAATATCAAACAGTCACCTGAATGACTGACTGTACTTTTCATGAAAGATTGTGCTGGTATGTCAGCTACCACAGAGTACTTGAAGGTCTAACAAAATATATAATTGTTAGTGCTGTTGTGATGAGATAATTCCCTGACCCTGTGATTATCTATGTGGTTGTAGGGGAAAAAAACAAATTTGTTTAAATATAATGTTTAACACTGACAATGTACCAGAAAGACAACTAAAAAAAATATTTAAAATGTAGAAACTTGCAAAAATGTATGGTTTGTGCAAAATTATAACAACACCATCTGATATGAAAGCAAAAATCACAACATGTCTGATTAACAATTTCTTTCATTTACCTTGAATTTCTTATTTTTGTATGCGAGTCCTTAATGCTTAAGGGACTGAAGCTCTTCGATGGACTTCTTAAGAAATTTCAAGCTGGAAGGTTTGGTTGGACCACATGATATAACTAACGGCACCACAACCGGAGGACTAATAGAAACAAAATGTAAATCGATATCTTTGATGTATAAAATCACCTCTTCTAGGGTAACTGTACTTTGTTGGTTTGGATAAAACACACTAACATTTTTTAATGCACTGCTTTATATTTAAAATTTCAACCTTGAGAACAAAAGCACTAAATGATTGGATTTGACATAAATTATAAATCTAAAAATATATAATGCTACAGTCAGTGCTTAAGATTCGGATCAGTTGGATCTGCAAGATTTTGACTTCTTGGATTCTGATCCAGCTCCGAAAAAATATCCCTATCCGGATCCATTTTTTTTCAGTGAGGATCCTGGATCTGGATTCGGAGCTGCATCAAAATTAAATGGATCCGAAGCACTGTCTACAGAAAAAAACAAAAAAAAATCTGAAATAGGAAGACGGCTTTATAAACAATAATTAATGAATTTCATGTTATAAAGGAAATAGCTATACTAGCCTATTATTAAATCACAAATTAAGTGGGTCTGTTTACACTGCACTATTGCCGTTTGCATATTGGACTATTTAAGTAATGAATACAGTAAAAAAGTCATCTTTCTATTCTAGAATTTTCTGGTTATCACTTTACATTTAAAAATATACTACCTTAGGTTCCGTACAGTACACAAAAGTGGCCACTGACCCCACTGACCAGGGTCAGTGGCTGGTCCAAACTGAATAACTTTACATGGAAATGATGTTGACTTCTATGAATTACAATAACCAACCTAAATTTAACTGTAAATGCAGCTCTTTCAGCTCATTAATTGCAGACAAGGGATACCTAGGAAAGGATTAATTATTAGCAGGATTGTCATTTTAATGTCAAGTAACCTTCAATATAAAAAAAAGGTCCAAGGGGATATATTTTTAAGGTCTGGAAAAAAGCCATAAATTGAAGAAAAAAATTCCTTTAACTCATTTATTTTCTCCAATTCCCCAAATTTCTAAAAATTATGCAAACATTCAAAACTAGTACACCCATGATAAGGGCATCCCTTTCATTATCATTATAAAAGTGATTAATTCGTACTAAAATTGAGACCAGAATTGATATAAATTTAAAAAAAAAGATGAGGATGTTATGCATATTCATAACTTCAAGCTTTGCTAAATCCCTGAAAATTATATGGTAATACAATGCATATTCATAAAACACGACTCAAAGAACAGGTTTTCAATAGCAAAAAAATTTGTTGTATTAAATTTCTAAAAACCTGAGTTA